AAAGGTGGTTTTTGGGGCACAAAAGGTCATTTAATATTAAGCAATTAAAAGCAATACATTTTTTTTTTATGTCAGTAGAGGATTTATTTCACTCTGGAGAATTTAAGCAGCTTCAACCACCTTCTTCACAAAGTCTTTCCTTTGATCTTGGGTTTGTTCTCGTCCGTCTCACCAGATAAATTTTCTCTCTGGTACAGAGAGCATTTCACTTTCTGATTACTGTGATCACTGAACACGTCTGTGGTGTCAATCCTTGGATAAAACTGTTTAAACAGGTGAATGTGGCACCTTCGAGGTTCAGGAAACCATGGAGGAAATGGACCTTTGCATGTCCACAACTCTTTTTCCTCCACTGCCAGATTTTATTTGATTCTCAATAATGAGAGGAAGTAAGCCCTTTTAAGGTGTTAGTCATCCAGATCAGCTACCTAACAAGCTGTGATATCAACACAGGGCTTTCCTGTTTTATTTACAGCATTTCAATGTATATAAAAATTCTCTTCAAAGAAAGACAAGAAACTTAAAAGCATTTGGTTGAACCCTTACTTACCTGAACAGTGAAGAAATTGCTTATTTCCAGCGAGGGGAGGAAAAAAAATTATACAGTGTATGTAAATATTTGGTCAGGCCTGTTGATTTACTGTTAGCACATTATGGGGAGAGTCAGGATTTAAAGCCGTGGTCAGTAAATAGATGGCTTATAGTGTGAACGTTGCTGAGGAGAGGAAGCTGTTGGATCGTGTTCGGTATGAATCTGTGTTGCCTGGTTCTTGCCACCTCTGACTAATAATATATTGAGTGCATATCGTACATGCATTGGATCTCACTCAGCCCACCGTGGTCGTCTTCAGCGATCTTTTACCCAAAGCTGCTTTACAATGTGTCCCAATACTGTGTCATTACAGGAGCAAGGGGGCTGGACAATAGCAGTAAAATAACCCTTCCTGTCACTCTGATGGTATTCAGTCTGAAGTGGTTAAGCTCAGTAGTTTAGTGCCAGACCTGCAATTATCCTGCCATTTCTGGGGGTCTTGATAAAGCTGCAATATTTTCGCTATCATTCGATCCCTGTAAGCTCACTGCTGGGATTCAGGATTTTTGCAGTAGGGGTATTTCCAGTCTTGTATTGTTCCTTTTTTATTTTATTTTTTTAAAGCCTTTTCATTTGTGTGTATTCTCTGCACTTTACTGCTGCGTGGGTGAGGCGCAGGGAAAAGGGTTAGGGGAGGGGGTGGCAATGCATTGTGGAACAGAATGCTGTGGTGTCTGTATGGGAAAAGATGGAGGTGATTATTTCTAGTGGATTTTTTTTTTTCTAAAGCAAGGAAAGGAGGAGAATCTGGGGTGAAGGTGGGACCATAGCTAACTGTACTTCATTTTGAGATGAATAACCTTCAATCTGGACCTTCCTCTCAGAGTATCAACGGTGTTCCTGCTGCCCATCCATGTATTGTTAGAAAAGCATTTGTCCATTTCCCCCCCTTCATGTCTGTTTTGTCTCCATTGCAAAATGATTCTCCTCCTCCTTCCTTTGTTATATAGAATGCACTTTCTACTAAAATCCTTGAGTAGTTAAGAAAAATAACATTGTATATTCTTTAAAGATGTTTAAAAACAAATCAATATTCTTTCCCCTTTGTATTTTTAACCACTTAATGTAGCATTGTGTATTTTATTATTGTATCTGGTACAAAATGTGCAGCTTTATAATGTACTGGTTTGTCCTTTTTTGTATGTTATCTGGAGATTGAGGATAAGTGATTTAAAAAGTTGGGCCTTTTTTTGATAATGTACATTTAACTGACTGCTAACTTTGAAAAGTAAAAACTAGTAGCCATGATCATTGTTTTCTTGACTCGTTTTTCTTCTTTCAAAGATCCTCACAGAGCACCTTTCGTAGACTAGAAGTCCTAGCTTGATTCAGATGGTCACTAAGAGACACCTTTAGCTTTTTTTTTTTGCCTCACACCTCCTCAACGTCTTCTAGACTTAGACAAACTTTATTGCATTTGTGTATATATAGGATTTCCATTCATAAAGTGCAGCAGTGATTAAAGTTAAACAGTGTAGGAGAGACATTGTGCTAAAAGGTATTGATGTGGAAGTTCAGAGCAGTGCGAAAATAAATATATATGGTGCAAAGAATGCAGTAGAAAATAGGGATGCACGATATAATCGGCCCCCTATCGGTATCGGCCTGTATCGGCCTTAAAACTGAATATCGGACATCGGCCACCCCACCGATATTTAACCCGATATTTGATCAGCTTCTGAGTTTCTAAAGTCTAAAAAAAATAAAATAAAATACTACTACTTCTTCCTCAAAAACTTCTTTTTTACAGACTTAAAAACTTCTAAAGACGAGGGAAAAAATATTGATACATTAAAATATCACAATATCTTCATATGCTGATATATTGCCATTTAAAAACACCATATCAATCTCTTTTACTAATGAAATATTGCTATATGTCATCGTTATGCTGCGAAATCCCACGAAAATTCACGAAATTTTGCCATATTTTTATGTTGATATATTGACGCCGCATCGATCTATTTTACTAACAAAATCTCACAAGAATTTGCAAAATATCACGAGAGTTTGTAACAGAACGATGAAATTTCACGAGATTTTGAAAGTAAAATAGATCGATACCGCGTTTTTAAAAATCAATTTGATATCAGCATATGAAAATATATTTGAGTATATTATTTTTCAAAGTGTCAGAAATGGATAACAAAACTGCTATTTTCAATGACTACTTATTTTTGTCCAGCTTTAACATCGGTATCGGTTATCGGCTACATGAGGTTTAAAATATCGGCACATCGGATATCGACCAAAATTCCAATACCGTGCATCCCTAGTAGAAAACATTTGAGTTGAGTTCTATTCGGTATGATATCAGTGTGATGCAGATCTTTATTTGTGCCTTGATTTAGAGTTTTTTTCTAAATTGCAGCAGTCCGATGGCAGTGGGGGAAAAGCTGTTACACAACCTGATGGTCTTCTAAGGGCTGACTGGCTGATGGAAGAAACTAATACAAAAAAAGCAATAAAACATGAATGTGCTCCTAGTAATCCATGCAGAAAAAAATAACTGAATAGAGATTTCAGGAAAATGTCTCATAGTGATGAAATACAGCCAAATTAAATAATTGTCTAACAGCATGAAAAATGACCATGGTGGGAAAAACTTAGTTGAACAAAGGACTGTGAATACGGGCTCCTTGTCCCTACCAGGTTATAAAATTGTTTAAATCTGTATATATGCATGTCTGATGTTGACCATCAGCTGCAATCTTTTAATGGCACTCGGTAAGCCTTTTTTCTCTCTCTCTTTACACCTTATGTGCAGTTGCTGTTGTTGTCAGAGTTGAATTGGATGCCAGTCACTTCTGGGTATCCATAAAATCCATCTTGATACCAAATCCTATGTGTGGCTAGATTGGACCCATTTGATGTGAACGTGCTTGACTTCATATCTGCTGAAACAGCAGGAGGTTCAGACCTGAAGTAAATTCAAGAAAATAGGCTACAGGCTTATAGAGGCATCAGTGCTGAACTACTGAAGTGTCAGTCTGCTCATCACGATGTTTTAGTCGTAAAGGGTCAAATAAAAAAGCTATTTTAGAAATGTTTTTAATTAAAAATATACATAATGTCTCTTTAAGGGGAGCAACCAAAAAAACATGTAAGTGCTGCATGTGTTAAACACTGACAATGTCAAAAAGGAGAAGCTGTAGGTGTAAAATAACACCTTTGCAGTTTCTCAATAATTGAATAACGCAGCATTTAATTAACTGGAACATCTATGGTTCCCTTATCTGTCGTTTAGCATATAGATGTGTAAAACAATACCAAGCAGGAAAGATTTTAGCAATTACAGGAGTTGAAAACTTATTTTCCCAGTGAAGTGCAACATCAGTTAGCATGATAAGCCGACCAAAATTGGGCTGTTTGAAAGAATATCAAGGAGAAAGCTTCTTACATCCTAACATTCGTGTGTAAAATGTTACGTACCTCTATAAGTATGTTGTGGGGGAAATTATTTCTTCATCTGTTGGAGAAACGGAACAAGCGACTAAAAAAAGGTTAACAAGCTCATAAAGAAGGTTGCCTCTGTTCTGGGAGCTCCTGTAGAACCTCTGGAGATGATTTGAAAAAGGTTTGTTCTTCATAAAATGCAGAACATCATGGACTGCATCCTCTTCAGAACAACAGAGCCCCTTTAGTCAGAGGCTTCTCCAGATCTGCTATAAGACGTACTACATTACAAGAGATCCTTCACACCTACAACTCATTAAAAATATAAAGCCTTTAATTTCCGTTTGGGATCATTAAAGTACTTTAATTGAACAACAAAATGTAAGGACTTTTAAAGCTGCATGTGTTAATGAACCCCTTAACTTCTGGAACTGTGTCCTTTGAACAGATGAGAGGTGCAGAGATGTTTACATAGCAGAGCAGTTAGGAGAAAATCAATCGGAGCATATCAGTAAAATGTCTTAAAGTGTGAAAAACAGTGCTGCTGTGGTATTTATGGCTTTCTAAGCACATCTTGATCTAAAAGAAATGTTGCTTCTTTCAGTATCTGCATCTAACTAACAGAGAACATGTAACTTGGAAGATAACAAGAAATCTGGAGCCAGAATATCAGTTTCTAGCTTTTTTTTTTTTTTTTTTGTTAAACTGACATTATGGGAGCTCAAATGATATTAGTCTAGTGTGAGGATGTCTGTCAGACTCCTAAGCTCACCCCAAAGTGGGTGATCAGTGGCAAAAACATCAAAACATGAGCAGCTCTGTAACAGAAAACCAGAAAAAGAAAAGAATCAAGGTTTAAAATGAAGTTGTACAGAAAACTTTTAAGTCTTTACAGCAAACTGTGCTTATTTCAATCATTAGATTATTGGGTGTAATTAGTTTTCTAAAGCTTGTCTTTATGTAGAAAATGAAAAAGTATACTTTTTAGTTTACCTTGGCCTTAAAAGCAAGGATTGCGCACAGCATGTTCCTGATTAAATGCTTCAGTTTAAGTGTGTTTCACACAGTGATTTGCTCCAAAGCGTGGATTATTGCAGATTGTCAGAAACTCTCGGTTCAGCGCTGGTCTTTTTCCTGCTATTTTAGGTTCCATGGGATTTTGGTAAAACCTGTTACCTAATCTTCTGTGTTAAATGTGAGGAATGTTTCGCCTTTGAGTCTCGATTTGTAGTTTTAGGGTCCTCTTTTTCCTCTAAACATGATAAAAGAAAAAAAAATGAATTCTGACAGTTTAAAGATTTAGGCCATCATCATTTAAGGTAACCTCAACAGGCTGTTCTAGTGCATAAAATGTGTATCCCTATTTTCTTATATATATTCTTGCCAGTGGGACACCTGCTTTCTCTTTACCAGGTGCTTCTAATGAGTCATAATCCTATAGGTAGCAAAAAAGGCCGATGGGTGCAGAGAAAAGTGTATGTGACTCACTGTTGGTGTGTGGGTGGCCAGGTACCGGGGCTCAATTCACGAGCAGAGGAGATAATAACACGTCGTCTGTACATCTCCATTCCCATTTGGGTTTGAAAATAGTCGGCCTCCCCAGCTGTTAGTCATTACGCCTTCTGGTGTCGAGGAGGGAGGAGGCTGCGTCTGTCGGCAGGCAGATAAAGAGAAGAGGGCTTCATGGTGTCTTTCTCAGCCGTGTGTGTTCGCTTCATTAATCAGTGTACTTGCAGGGTTTTATCAGGAGGAGCGAGCAGCGGACATGGACTTCCTTGCTGCGACACTGATGTTTCTCAGTAGTTAGTAAATGAATAAATAACATCATTTCAGAATTTGATTACTAATAAATCATCTAGTCATCTGGTTGTGTGAAACCAAGCATCTTCAACTATCCCTGTCATGTCATAACAGCTTTACCAAAACAAAATGCATCTTAACTCTTACATGCTTCGACCAACCTAAAAAATATGACGCCAAGGCTGCTCAGTGGCGCAGTGGGTAGCACTCCTGCCTTGCAGCAAGAAGTTTCCAGGTTATATTCCCAGCCTGGGGTCTTTCTGCATGGAATTTGCATGTGCATGCCTGGGTTCTGTCCGGGTACTCCAGCTTCCTCCTACAGTCTAAAAACATGACTGTTAATTGGATCTCTAAATTCTCCTTAGGTGTGAGAATGGTTGTTTGTCTCTTTGTTGCCCTGAGATGGACTGGTTACCCGTCAGGGGTGTACCCGACCTCTTACCCATCTACAGCTGGGGATAGGCACCAGCACCCCTCAGTTGTTTTTTTTTTTTTTTTTTTTATCAACTAACAGATGCATTTCTAAGTAATGCCACACATCTATAACGTTTCTAGAGCAGGGATCATGTACAGATTTTATTAGGTTGCTTAAATTCTGCCAATCAAATTTTTCCTTTTCATCACACATTTCTGCAAGTGTAATCTTTTATATTTGTGCTCATGCAACCAAAAGGGTATTTTTTGGCTCTATTTCACCTTTTCCTAATAAAAGTACATTTCCTTTATAACATAACTCTGCTGTGGAAAACCAATTATTGTTGGTTTTATTTCATGTTTCAAATATAAAGTATGCAGGTCCTTTTTATCTAGCCTGTACCCTTAAAGCTACAGTGTGTAATAATTACAGGGATATACAGTCAGAAATGTAATATATTATACATAACTATGTTATTTATCATCATCTACGAGCTCAGCCTCCTAACCTTAATATTTGCGTTGCCTTAGAATTCGTTATTTATAATTACATAGGAGTGGGTCTCGCAGCCATGGAGGCAGACATCTTTGTGCTACGGCAGCGCAGAGCCAACAAACTAGCGATTGCGACATCGCCAAAACGTCACAACGATGTAGAAAAAATAACGGGTATATTTATTATCTTAAGTCTACATGAAATCTATACCCTACACAGAATAAAGAAATACTATCTGCAAAATTATCTATGTAAACATACCTCATCACTTGAGAAGGTAGGTGATGCGGACGTCGTGGAAAACATTTTGTCCCGTTGTAGGTACCAGATTGACTCGGGCTGCCAGATTGACTCGGGGGCCTGCGCCTTTTGAGATGCGTCAGAGCGTCCGCCATCTTAAATGTGGCAAATCTGCAGTTTCTCAGTCACTTAAACAGTATCAGAGGGACTTTAATCTCTGAATATACTTTGTATTCGTAGTATTTTTGGTTTTGTAATATTACAAGTTTATTTTTTGTATCCCTTTAGCTTCATTCTCCTGAATTTATTCTCGTTACAAATGCAGACCGCGGGCTCAATGTAGTTTGTTTGAGTGGCATTGCCATAATGTCACGTCATCGGGAGGCGCAAGGCCCATGGCGAATTCGGTGACGTCATCAGAAGGCGCAGGGACCATGGAGAATGTCTTCGTAAAATTGTCCGTTTACAAACAGCAATCCCGCTTTCGAATAAAACCTACACCCCGCTATAATTACTTTAGTAAGCTGTCCAGACCAATCAAAATGTTTTGCGCAATTGTGCAAACGTTAAAACAATTATGTATTGTGACGTCATCAAAAGGCGCAGGCCCCCGAGTCAATCTGGCAGCCCGAGTCAATCTGGTACCTACACTGTAACACTCGCCGTATTGTTGGGGGGGAGAAGCGGTGGGGGGGAGATGTTCATGTTGCTGCAGTCTGCAGTCTGACCGCTAGATGTCGCTAAAAGTTACACACTGGGGCAATCCTGGAAGAAAACCTTATGGTGGCTGCAGAAGACCTGAAACTAAGAGAGATTTAAACTTTTCAGCAGAGGGAGGACCCTAAAATACAGCCAATGGAACTAAATGGTTTACAGGAAAGTATGTTTATGTGATACAATGGCAATGGCGTAACTATTGGTAAGCAGAGACTGCAGTTGCTTTGGGGCCCACCCAGATAATGATGCTTACAGGCCTATTGTTGTGTCGTTACGCCATTGTACAATGGCCTGGTAAAAGTCAAGCAAAAAAAAACAATGAAAAATATTTTACAATACTTGTAAATTGATGGTAACAGATGCTATCTTATTCAACCTAAAGGAAATTTTAAAAGAAGAAATGGGAAAATATTTTCCTTTCTAAATGTGAAAGGCAAGGTGATCTCCAGACTTGCAGCAGTGGTTCCAAAAACTATCTGGAAAAATACAGATGATGCCAAACTTCAGGTTTTAAAATTATATATTTTTAAAACCGTAAAAACCTTTACAAATAAAAGTCTGAATCCTTTACCGTCCACTTTTTGCACTGGAATAAATAATGCAACAGCTTTTGGCCTTTACTTAACCATATTTACTTACTTTAACACAATTGTTTTATGTCCTACCCTGCTAACATGAAACAATTGTGTTAAAGTAACTAAATATGATCAAGTAAATACCAAAAAGGGTTGCATAATATTTTTCAGAGAAACGCATTTAAAGGTTGACTAAATGTGAAGTTTAAAGTGTTAAAATCATTTGGCAATGACTTGTAAATGTTTCACAAACAGATCTGATATGTTTGTATTCTGTGTTAAACCTGGACAAGAAATATAGCAAATGTGTCCACTTGAGCGATATGAGAAATATGCTTTTCATATGTAAAATATTCTGCAAACAGAACATTCCCATTTTCCCTTCCTTTACTCCAACCTACTCTGTCATTTGATGAACGTGTCGTGAACGCGCCCTGTCGGCTGCCATTAAATGGGCGGACTTGAAGGCGCGGGCGCGCGCTCAGCGGCTCCGCACATAAAAGCGCGTGAACCGGAGGTCTGCTGCCTCCTGTTACCAACCACACCGGATCGGACCAGACGCCGCGGATCGGAACCAGTGCTGGTGATGCATTTATAGTTTCTTTTTTTTTTTTAAACCTATAAACATTTTAACATATCTTTTCAATATTGTAGATAGAAAAATAACAAGGATTATGCGTCAGAAAACTATTTATTATAACCCACTGACTTTTTAAGAGGTAGGCTGTCCAGTTTGGATGACCTGTGATGATGTTTCCTGTGAATATGGGTTGATATAATGTTTAGATGACTCCAGATAGCTTATAAATGATTATAAGGTGTATTTTAGAGGCATTATTTGGAGCTCTATAAGCGCTAATTGAGAGCGCAATAACGTTTTCCTTTGCTTTCTTGTTTAACTCATTACACCAATTTAGCCTTTAGGCTTTTTCCAGTTGCAAAAAAAAAAAAAAAAAAAAAAAAAACCTGCAACTCAGGTAACTTAGCCTAATTTTAAGCATCAAAATCTCAGATGTGACCTGGCTGAACTGCTTCAATTGCATTTTTGTAAAGTAGGCTATATTTGCCTAAAACTGGGAAATGTAGTTTGCCTGGGGCTCCCATTGGTTGTCTTCTTCTAATAAAAGTTTTAATGCATGCTCTTATATCCTTTTATGATGCATTATCCTAAATAGTGGGGCAGTGGTGGAGGCAACACATGAAAACCTTTTGGTGACATCATCAGTCATTGCGGATTTGATTTTAAACTGTTTTTCTTCCCTCAGGCAAACAGGATCACCAAAGGTCCCGGTGTGCAAAGATCATGGCCTCCCATTCCGGTTCCATCTCCTCCAATAAACGCTTCCTAATCTTCTTTGATTTCGACGAAACCATCGTGGATGAAACCAGCGACGACATGGTGGTGCAGGCCGCCCCGGGTCAGCACCTGCCCGGCTGGCTGAAGGACACCTATCAGCCCGGCCGCTACAATGAGTACATGCAGCGCGTCCTGGCCTACCTGGCGGAGCAGGGCGTCACAGAGAGCGACTTACGCAGCATCATGGAGAAGATCCCCGTCACCCCCGGCATGCTGAACCTCTTCCAGTTCCTGCGCACCCGGCCGGCGCATGATTTCGAGGTGGTTTTGGTGTCCGACGCAAACACCTTCTTCATTGAATCCTGGCTCCGACGCGCCGGAGTGCGCCAGCTCTTCCATCGGATCTTCACCAACCCGGCCACTTTCAACAAGAACGGGCGACTGGTGCTGAGGCCGTTCCACACCCACGAGTGCCAGCGGTGCCCGGACAACATGTGCAAGCAGGTGGTTGTCAGGGACTACGTGGCGCGCAGGACGCAGGAGCGCGGCCGACCTTACCAGAGGATCTTCTATGTGGGGGATGGAGCCAACGACTTCTGCCCTGCGCTCGCGCTGGGGCCCCGAGACGTAGCCTTCCCACGGAGGGACTTTCCCATGCACCGGCTCATCACGGAGACCCACGAAGCCATGCCTGGAGAGTTCAAGGCGGTGACGGTGCCCTGGGTCAGCGCGGAGGAAGTTATTACGCGGCTGAGAAAACTAGTGGCGGAGTAGAGGAAATTGATAAATTAAACTTTTTAGCAGAGGGATCCTAGATAATGTTCCAGAAATTGATAAATTCAGTAAACAGACTTTTAAAGAGATGCTCTCAGGTCAAATAATTGAGGCAAAACACCTGCGAATAAAGTTGAAGGTTGAAGTTAATTTGGCACAAGGTTCAGGGGGGGTTCTCAAAAACCTAAAGGGAGTATAAAAAAAATAAAATTAAAAATCTTTACCTTCTTCTAGTAAAGAAAACATCAGGGAGTTTGGAGGTATTCCAGTAATAAAGCAGCCATGTTACTGTTTATGTGTTAATTATCATGGAATAAAGTTCTTTATGTTTGCATTTGCAACAATTAAATGTTTTGAAAGATAGTTTGTTGGTTTATTCTCAATTTCATAATTGTATTATTTTACTTACAGGTCATTTTCAACGTGAATTTTGTTTTAAATTATAGTGTCAGTCTGACAACACTGCCAACTGAAGGTGAAGGGCATTAAAACTGACCAAACTATGCTTTAATTATTATGTTGTTGCTGTTTTATAATCACTCTGTCTAGAGTTTGTCTAATTTACAGATGTTTGTATTATAAAAGAAATGTTATTTTTTAATATCTGTATCTTGTCTGTCATCTTTATGTATGTTTTCTGTGTAGGTCCAGCCTACTGACCAAATACCACCAGCAGGAATAAAGCCATAACCTGAAACAGTGCTTGTGTCTGAAGAATGTTCTTTATTCATCTTTTTTCATGTTCTAATATTATCAAATGAAAAACTTTTTTTAAATATTAAGACATTGATTGAGCTGTAAGTTCAGATCAACATACTGTTGTTAAATGCATAGCATATATAGCCTACTTATTTAGTGGTAAAAGTCCAGTTCCTCACTAATCAGAAACAAGCTTTATGAATCTAAAGTAATTATAGCAGATTCCCTTTAAAATATTGAATACGGGGCTTGTTTAAAACTTAGAAATTATCAAATAATATATATCTATCATATTTAGTCCAGTGGATCTTTGATCATTTATATATGTAGACTAGTTTTACTTTGCAGAACCTCCAAACGTTTTGTTATTTTGCAGTTGACACAGACTGTTTACTGGCATCTAGCGGCGAGATGGATAACTACAAATCTCTTTTGCAGACTAAAATCTCCATTTTCTAAATTTATTTATTTATTTAAAAAATTGACAGCATTTCAACATATTAGTAGTGGAAATATGTGCTTTGTGCTGTAGAAAAATGTTTTCCTTTTTGCTATTTTAATAATCATACACTTAAATCAAAGTTGTAAGTTTATTTCAAAACGGTAATATTAAAAGCAATGTTGAAGCTACACAGAGTGGATGTATGTCACCTTATTTATTTATTTTTCTATTTTATTTAATAGTTTTTCACTTGTAGAAATAGACTTAGACAGATTTATTTTGTCATTTTGTGAACAAGTGTAAACAACATTTTTTAAATACAGCCTTGAAAACAATAAAAAAAAAATACACAAAAACAGTAATATAAACATATGACTGTATATTTACAGTTCTAACATTTCAGTTTTTTTTTTTTTTTATTCATTTTATCCCATTTCAATGTTGGGCCACCTCTAAAGCACATTCATGAGAGAAAAGAAGGTATTGTATGATGTTAATTACTCATTAAACAGACATCTGCATCACTGGCTATAATATTATTCTTCAGACAAATACAAATAAAACCCTGAGCC